TAATAAGATGCAGAACACAGCTTCAAGCACCGTAAGTGCCGTTGGACACTTGGCCTGTGCTGGGGAGGCAGGTAGGGAGTGGTGGGGCCTGTGACAAACTGGAGAGACCATGCCCTTTCAATGGCAGGGTTCCAGCCCAGTACTTCCATGGGGAAATGCAGGTCTGATGTTGACAGATTTGACTTTCCAAAGAACCCAGAAGTCAGATTTTTCTGGATTGGGATACTCCCATTTTTAACACAGACAAGTCATTTCAAGCTTTGAAAAAGCACCGTGTGGGTCATTCTCTCACACTGCTGTTGGGTGTCTACCTTGGCATAATCCTAAAGGACAGAAACTGGCATCAGCTAGTAAAGTACAAGTGCGATGTCCTTTAACTTGGCACTTCCACTTCCAGATGCTTTTCCTGCAGATTCACTTGCAGTGTGCAAAAGGATGTGATCAAGGAAATGTATTAAAGCCAGGCATTGGTGGCTCATGCCTGTAATCCTAGGTACTCAGGAGGCAGAGATCAGGAGGATTGTGGTTCAGAGCCATCTTGTGTAAAAACTTCAAGAGACCCTATCTCAAAAATACCCAACACAAAAAATGACTGGTGGGTACTGCGCCTGCCTAGCAAGCATGAGGCCCCGAGTTCAAATCCTAGTACTGCCAAACAAACAAAAAAACTCAAAGAAAATGTATCACAGCATTGTTCTCAATAGCAAAGAATTTGACCTAATCTAAATGTCTGCCTCTAGGAACTTGATTAAAGAGGTTACATTTGTAAAGGAATACTGTGTAGCTATTAAAAAAAAAAAAGAATGAGCTGGTTTGTCAGATGTGACACTCATAGCATAAGTGACAAATGGCAAAACAGAGAAACTGAACTTCATCAAATTTAAAAGCTTGAGTGCAACAGAAGGCACTACTGAGGTGTACAGACAGCCCACAGACTAGCAATACATATTTGTAAATCATGTATCCAGTAAGGGGCTTATATCCAGATATGTCAACAACTCTTACAACTTACCAATAAAAAAGGCAAATAACCCAGTGGACAAAGGATTTGAACAGACATTTCCCGAAGACGAAATGGCCACCACTCCCCAAAAAGATGCCCAACATTCTTAGTCATTAGGGAAATGCAGATGGAAACCACAATGATGCAGCACTTCACACCCACTAGTGAAAGGAGGAAAATAACAAGTGGCATGAGGATGTTGAGAAACCGGAGTTCTTAAATATTCAGGAGAGGCTGGAAATGGTACAGCGGCTGGGGAAACAGCTTGGCAGTTAAACACAGACTTTCATATGGCCCAGAAATTCCACTCCTCCGTGTAAGTCCAGAACTCACAACACGTGTCCTTGCAAAAACCTGTACACGGATCAGCATTAATTCATAAAGACAAAGAATTAGAAACAACGCAAATATCCACCAACTAATGAATGGGTAAACAAAATGGAAAATTATTTAGTCAATAAAAGTAGAGTATTGATACATAATAGAATACAGGCAGATCTTCACAACATGTTAGGAAGTGAAAGAAATCAGACCCCAAGGGCACATCTATATGAAAAGTCCAGAATAGACACAAAGTAGTTCAGCCATTGCCTAGAGCTGGGCAGAAGAATGAGGGGCGATTACTAGTGAGTTTCTGCTTTTTGGGGTGATGAAAATATTATAAAACTAGGCAGTGGTAATGGCTGTCCAACTCTGTGAACATACTAAAAAACCTGAGTTATACTCTATACATGGTTTTTTTTTTTTTTTGGCAGTACAGGCATTTGCGCTCAGGGCCTTACACTTGCTAGGCAGGTGCTCTACCACTTGAGCCACTCCCTAGCCCTTTTTGCTGTAATTATTTTTGGGATAAGGTCTTCTGTTTTTGCCAGGGGCTCGCCCTGACTGTGGTCCTCCTACCTGTGCCTCCAGAAAAGCTGGTATGGCAGATATAAGCATCATGCCCAGCTTGTTGGTTCAGATGGGGTCTCACTAACTTTTTTGCCCAGGTTGGCCTTGAACCTTACTCTGCTTCCCAAGTAGCTAGGATTATAGGCTTGAGACACTTTGTCTGGCTAAAATGGTGAGTTTTAAGGTATGTGAATTATATGTCCAAAAATCTGTTATTTTTTTAAACAAAGAGTGAGGGACCGCTTCAATTATTGAATGGAATGGTCTTTGGGAAAGACCATTTTTGCTACCTTTTGTATACAAATAGGAGGCAGTGTTAGAAATATCTTTAAGATATTGGGGTGTCATGAGAGAGACGACACTACTCAGAAGTCAAAAGGCAAGGCAAAATTTACTTCTGCAGAAGGGTGCACACCAGGAAGTCTGGGAGGTATACACACCAAGCAGGAGATCTGCAGGGGTTTTATCTGACACCTTGCTGTTCCTCTCCTGCCCTGGATTAGGCAGATTCTGGGGCTCACAGTCTACATGGTTGGCTAGTTAGAAAGGGGCCACATTAGGAGAGGCCTTTGGGAACAAAGAAGTTTCAGAGAAGCAGTAACTGGTTTTGGTTTTCATGTCTGGAACCAGGGCATCTAGCAGAATTCCTGCCCCAGCCTAGCTGAGGATAAAAACCCTTTGTTCTGAATAGAAACTTTTATCACGTTAAACAGAGTCCATAAAGCCAGCATATGGGAAGCAAATTTCTGACTAAGAAATGTTAGTGAGACTACCATTTGTAACAGCAGTGATTACTGATTAAATCCTTTGACAGAAAAGACCCAACCTAAGTTGATTCTCACAGCAGGTACAAATTATTTGTTTGTATTGTATTTGTATTGCTTTTTTCCACTGGCCACCTAGAGGTGGGACAAAGTTTTTCACTTAAAATGGAAAATTCTGAACCTAAGAATGCGTTATTCAGCAATCTTTTTTTTTTTTTAAAGAAGTGGTTGTGTCATATGCAACAAATAATTCAGTAAGGCAAGAACTGAAGAATGCTCCTTGGATTTGCCTATAATTAGGTCATTGGTGACTTTTCCAGGACAGAGTCAGGGATATTGAGGGCAGAAGCAGAGTAGCACTCAGTAGATGAAGTAATTGGGAATTAGGGAGTTTTTGCCAGGGAATGTGGAACTGTTTGCAGTTCATAAAGTCAGACAAGATGAAATAATTACAAAGTGTTTAAAAGATACACAAGTTTCTAGACTCTTCTGGTATTTTGCCTTTTATTTCTGGATCAGACAGAGGTCTACTTGATCTTCTGAAAAAAACAAAGAATGGTGTTTAACAGGTCTTGCATCCTCTGCTTATGCTTAGGGACACTGCAGGGTTTGAACTGCACATATTTCAGTGGCAAGAGACTGTCTTATTTATCACCTAAAAGTAAGACGTAAAAAGATAGATCTTGGTGACAGAAAGTGCCCATTTCTCATGAGTGTGATTTATTAATGCAAATGGTGTAACATAATCTGGCTTTTTTATGCTGTCAGAAAAATGTGAAACAAATTTATAGTTCAACCTTAACTCAGTAAGCGTATATGATCAAGGCCTGTCTAAATACTAGACATGTATTTGTCCTGGAGCTTTCCTAATACTCCAGTATATTTTCTTCTGATGCCAAGTTTTAAAAATTATGTGTCTTAAAATTCCGTGCAAAACTCCCAGAAGTATGAAAAATAAAAACAAAACAAAACCCCCCAAAGTGTTAATACTAGAAAAGGGGAGGGGCTTCTGAAGGACTGGTCATGTTCGGTCAGTTTTTTTTTTTAAGTCTGAATGTAACACGTGTGTATCATGTGTGAAAATTTATTGGGCTGCTTATGATATGTGAAACTTTTTGTATGCGTTTTTATAAAAAGTAAAAAACAAAACACAACAGAGGATATAAAAAAAATGCAGGCTTACCAAAATTCATTTCTAGTCTGGATCTACTCTGAGTCTTTAGTTTTCGACCCGACAAATAAATGGTCAATCTGGCACTCAGTCCCGATCTCTCCTACTCACTGGTCATGATTCAAGGCTGTGGACAGCCTGTGTCCCTCCACTTCTGGACCTCCACACTTTTGCTAGGCTGCAAGCGCTCTCTTTGTCATCTCGCTTGGTGAAAATCCAGCCATCTTTGGCGATCCAACCCCAAACCACTTGTTCCTTATAGCCCCGTCCGAGCTCCCTGCAGAAAACCTTTCCTCCTAGAGCACACTGCCCAATGCGCTCACCTCGGCTTCCTGGGCACTGAGCCGCAAAGGGACGGTGCTCCATAGAGAGGCTACGTGAGTGTATGAACTATAGGGCTCTGGTTCCGCCGCTGCCCAAAGCGCTATCACCAGACAGCGAAACGCACCGAACCAACACACCCAGGAGTATAGAAACCCAGAGCCACGATCCAGGATCGACGGAAGCCGCATGGCCAGCCACCGGAAGTCAGTGGCGGCTTTATGTCCGCCGCTCTAGAATCCCGGAGGACTGGGATCTCTGTGGTTGGACAAGACGGGTCACCGTCTACCGGAGATGATGCATTTCCAGAACTCCGGGAACCAAGAAATCGCGGGGGTGGGGGGGGGGTTGGGGAACAATCCGCCAGGCGTCGAGGGCCGTTAGGCAAGAGGGGCCAAAAGGAGGAGATTTTCGGGAGGTGGTTGCCAAGGTAACATTCCCAGGCATCTCTGTCTCTCCGAACGTCCTGGCTAGTCCCAGAGCTGGCGGGACAAGCTGTGATTGGCCGTAGGAGGTAGTGCCGATTGACGGGGCGCGCGCGCATACGTGCAGGGGCGTTGCCCTCCACTGGGCTTCCCCGGGCTGCCAGTGCGCATGTGTCAGAGGATGGTGCCGAGCGTGCGAATCCAGGAGAAGTGCCGAGCACCCTTTGGGCGGCTCCCGCGGACTAGCTGGACAGCGGCGGGCGCGCGCGCGGGCAGGAGTGGGTGTGGCTTCCTCGCTCCTACCTCGCATTGGACACAGTAAACCGAAGGGGTGGGAGCCTCCGCGGAGGCCGCTCAGCGGTTGGCTAGAGGCTGGAGAAGGCGTGGTCTTGGGGGGCGGGGCTGGACGGGGGGTGGGGAACAGGCTGCGCTGCGTGCTCCGCCGAGGTGGTAGCGGTGGCCCTTGAACAAGTGAGTGAGTCTTGGAGACCCTCTCCGCTGGAGACGGCGCGCTCTGGGACTCCCAAAATCCTCGAGGAGGCGTGGGGGCGAGGCGCCATTCGGTGAGTGTGGCCTGGAGGAAACCCGAGTGCCCCGCCCCTCCCTTTCTTCCTGGACCGCTCCGCGCCCTCCCCCACCTCGGACCCCAATCTGGTCTCTGGATTCCGACTCCCAGTGTAGGATGCCTGCTACGTGCGAGCGTCTCTCTCTTCCCTCCCCCACCCCCCCATGGCCACGATCGGTTTAGGGAACTTGGAGATTTTCTGGTTCTGCTGCTCCCCAGCCCACAGGGAAACTGAGGCCCACGGGGCGGTCGGGCCCCTCCTCATCAGCGTCTCCACACAGACACCATGGCCGAGCCCCTAAAGGAAGAAGACGGCGAGGATGGCTCTGGGGAGCCGCCCGGGCCGGTGAAAGCAGAACCCGCCCACACCGCTGCCTCGGTCGCGGCCAAGAACCTGGCCCTGCTCAAAGCCCGCTCCTTTGATGTGACCTTTGACGTGGGGGACGAGTACGAGATCATTGAGACCATAGGCAACGGGGCCTACGGGGTGGTGTCCTCTGCTCGCCGCCGCCTCACGGGTGAGCTTCCTGAGCCTCTGGTGGAGGTGGAAACGGGTTCCCAGAGGCAGGGAGGAACCGGCCTGGGCTCCACCAGCCAGGAAGGAAAGCTGCGCTGTGGCTTCTGGTTCAGCTCAACACCAAGTGCCAGCTCCTAGGGAGGCACTTTTCTCATCCTGTCGAACTGCTTCCTCAGAAAAGTGACAGTCCCGGCAGACCAGAATAGAGAGCCCCCCACCCCCGTTGGTGTCCAAAAGAGAGGTGTGTTCTAGAACCAGAGACTGGCACAAGGGTTTGGTGAGGAACATCAGAGATGGAGAGAAAGTGTAGGGAGAGAGAGTGACCTCAGGCGTTAGAGTCAAGACCACCACTAAATAGCTGTGCAACCTCCAACAAGTCACCAGGCCTATTTGCCTCATCTGTAACTTTGAGCTATTAATACTTACCTCACAAGGTAGTGTGAAGGTAAACTTCCGTGATGTACGTAAAGTGCCTAGCACTGGGTTTGGTACATGGTAGGTACCTACTTTATGGTAACTGTTGCTTTTTGCACCATACAAGGGCACTGTTAAAGGGACCTGCAGTTAAGGGTACCAAGGTACCCTCTGGTGGTATCTGCCTTTTCCCTGCTCCTCAGGCCAGCAGGTGGCCATCAAGAAGATCCCGAATGCTTTTGATGTGGTGACCAATGCCAAACGGACCCTCAGGGAACTCAAGATCCTCAAACACTTCAAGCATGACAATATCATCGCCATCAAGGACATCCTGAGGCCCACTGTGCCCTATGGAGAGTTCAGATCTGTGTAAGGAGCTGGATGGGAGAGGGTGGCATAGCTGGGACCATTTCAAAACCCAGGGCCATACTGCTGAAGTTACGGAAGGACAGGTAAGCCTGATGTGAGTCAGACTGAGAAAATTCCCATGATTCCACAACCAGTGCTACTCTAGGACATTGCCAGGGACTGTGGTTATTCCTCAAGAAGAGTATAGATGTTACAGTTTTACAGGATCTCAGAACATAGAATGGTAGGCATAGGATGATCAAACTGCATCCTCCTATTCCCATACCAGACATTGCTAATCGATCACAGAACTCTTTCCTGTAGAAGACTTGGTTTCTATAGGAAACCACACCTGGAGAACAAGGAAAAGGTAGATACCTTGGAATGGTGCAGGCCCCTTTCAACACTGCCTTTCCTATCCTTCAAGCAGCCACTACCAAACAATGGAGTCAGCTCTAAAACTGAACCTTCTGGCCAGCCCTGGTATAGTTGAACCCCATCTTTTATCTGATAGAGAAACTGGATCTGGGAAGAAAAGAGATTTAATCAAGTTCCTGGAAAAGTTGCAGAGAATCTTGAACCTGGCAGTCTTCTTTCATGCTATGCCATTAGCTCTTTGGGGTCCCAAAGTAAGCCCATTACCTGTCTAGATTTAAGTGATGCTGGTAGGGATGTTGGTTGCCAGCCCATGCCTCTCACCTCTTCTCAATTCCAGCTATGTGGTGCTGGACCTGATGGAGAGCGACCTGCACCAGATCATCCACTCCTCACAGCCGCTCACTCTGGAGCATGTGCGCTATTTCCTGTACCAGCTGCTTCGGGGCCTCAAGTATATGCACTCAGCTCAGGTCATTCACCGTGACCTCAAGCCCTCCAACCTGTTGGTGAATGAGAACTGTGAGCTCAAGATCGGTGACTTTGGTATGGCCCGTGGCCTGTGTACTTCCCCTGCCGAGCATCAGTACTTCATGACCGAGTATGTGGCCACTCGCTGGTACCGCGCCCCTGAACTCATGCTTTCCCTGCATGAGTACACGCAGGCTATTGACCTCTGGTCTGTGGGCTGCATCTTTGGTGAGATGCTGGCCCGGCGCCAGCTCTTCCCAGGCAAAAACTATGTGCACCAGCTACAGCTGATCATGATGGTGCTGGGTACTCCATCCCCAGCTGTGATTCAGGCTGTGGGAGCTGAAAGGGTGCGGGCCTATATCCAGAGCCTGCCACCACGCCAGCCTGTGCCATGGGAGACTGTGTACCCAGGTGCTGATCGTCAGGCCCTCTCACTGTTGGGCCGAATGCTACGTTTCGAACCCAGCGCCCGCATCTCAGCAGCTGCTGCCCTTCGCCACCCTTTTCTGGCCAAGTACCATGACCCTGATGATGAGCCTGATTGTGCCCCACCCTTTGACTTTGCCTTTGACCGTGAAGCCCTTACTCGTGAGCGCATTAAGGAGGCCATTGTGGCGGAGATTGAGGACTTCCATGCTCGACGTGAAGGCATCCGCCAACAGATCCGTTTCCAGCCTTCCCTGCAGCCTGTGACCAGTGAGCCTGGCTGTCCAGACATTGAGATGCCCAGTCCCTGGGCTTCCAGTGGGGACTGTGCCATGGAGTCACCGCCACCAGCCCCAGCCCCATGCCCTGGCCCTGCTCCTGACACCATTGATCTGACCCTACAGCCTCCCCCACCAGCCAATGAGCCTGCTCCACCGAAAAGAGAGGGTGCCATCTCAGACAATACCAAGGCAGCCCTCAAAGCTGCCCTGCTCAAGTCCTTGCGGAGCCGGCTCAGAGGTGCTTCATGGGTGTGGCAGTTGGCTGGGAAGTGGGGCGGTAAGTGGGTGACTAACTTGGACAGGGCCGCAAGCTCTTAACCTTTCCTCTACCAATTTCCCTCCAGATGGCCCCAGTGCACCCTTGGAGGCCCCTGAACCTCGGAAGCCTGTAACAGCCCAGGAGCGCCAGAGAGAACGGGAGGAGAAGCGCCGGAGGCGGCAAGAGCGAGCCAAGGAGCGGGAGAAGAGGCGGCAAGAGCGGGAGCGCAAGGAGAGGGGGGCTGGGGCCTTGGGAGGCCCCTCTACTGACCCTCTGGCCGGACTGGTGCTTAGTGACAATGACCGAAGCCTTCTGGAGCGGTGGACTCGCATGGCCCAACCCCCTGCCCCTGCCCCTGCTCCAGCTCCACCCCCTGCTCCAACCCCAACGCCACCCCCAGGGCAGTCCACTAGTCCTCCACCTGGCCCTGTAGCTCAGCACACTGGTCCTCCACTACAACCTTCAGGCCCCGCCCCTGGTCCTGCTCCCCAGCCTGCCTGCCCACCCCCTGGTCCTGCTCCCCAGCCTGCTGGCCCTCCTGGATCTGTCACTGTACCTGCTCCACTCCAGACTGCTACCTCCACTAGCCTCCTGGCCCCCCAGTCGCTTGTGCCACCTCCTGGGTTGCCTTGCCCCAGCGCCCCAGGAGTTCTTCCTTACTTCCCATCTGGCCCACCACCTTCAGATCCTGGTGGGGCCCCTCAGCCTTCCACATCAGAGTCACCTGATGTCAGCCTGGTGACCCAGCAGCTGTCCAAGTCACAGGTGAGAGGACAGGCCCAGGCCATGAGGACCCCTGAACCTGGGCCCAGGGAAAATGGGATCAGGAAGTTGTTTTTGTTCATGAAAACTGAACAGATGGAGTTTTACATCTCTGAACTTGTCCCCTGGCTCATAGAAGGAGCATAATATTAAGGAAGAGATTGTTGGGAGACAGGTAAGATACTACCTGGAAGACGCTTGGCCCGGAGATCTGCTGAGTGCCACTGCGTGATTGATGGTCAGGGATATCTGAGTGGTTAGCAGCATCAGGACAGGATGCTCTGCACACCTCGTGCTACCCTTGCTAGCACCTGCCTTGTAACCTACCATCATCCCCTGCAGGTGGAGGACCCCCTGCCCCCTGTGTTCTCAGGCACTCCAAAGGGCAGTGGGGCTGGCTATGGTGTTGGCTTTGACCTGGAGGAATTCTTAAACCAGTCTTTCGACATGGGAGTGGCTGATGGGCCACAGGATGGGTAAGATGGCTGGACTGAGCTGGAATGGGCTCTGGGAGGGGCCCTGGGGCAGGAAGAGCTTGCCTGTGGGATTGTGCCAAGCTGGCCTAGGCTAATAGCATCCCTCCCTCCCCCATCCCTGATTCCCTTTCTCTGCAGCCAGGCAGACTCGGCCTCACTCTCAGCCTCCCTCCTTGCTGACTGGCTTGAGGGCCATGGCATGAACCCTGCTGACATTGAGTCTCTGCAGCGTGAGATCCAGATGGATTCCCCGATGCTGCTGGCTGACCTGCCTGACCTCCAGGAGCCCTGAGGCCCACAGCTTGTGCCTTGCTGCCAGGGCGGACCCAGCTCCCAGGCCCAGGGGAGCATTCCTGAGGGCTGCAAGCCCTTGACCCAGCAGGTGAGGCTCAGTTGGATTATTTTGCAGATTCATCTCAGACCCACCCTTCAGCCTTAAGTAGCCACCTGAGCCACCACCGAGCCATGAACAGGACTGGGAGGCCCGACTACCCCTGGGCAGTCCTTTACAGTATTGTATTTTTATTATTATTGTAATATTATTATGCAGTCTTTTTGCCATCAAGATGAGGCCTGTGAAATATAAGGTTCGCTTTTACATCTGACTCCAGGTGTCATTTTTGGAGTTGGGGTCAGGACACCATCAGCAGGGGTACAAGGACGAGTCAGGGACCCACATTTGGGGGCCAAGCAAATGTTTGTGTACACAAAGCCAGTTCATCAGGTCCTGAAGGTTTATTGAGACCTCCACTTCCCACCCACTCCCAGCCCCACAGATTGTTCTCTGCCCCCTTGCATAGCCACACTTCAGTCCCTGGGACAGGTGGGGGACCTCGTTTCCATGCCTACCTTGCCCATGGCTATTGCAGGGTGATGTGCAGTAGCTGTAGTGAGTATTGTTTTGGCATTGAGCATTGGGACACCAGTTGGGGGAGCTGAGTAGGTGGGTGAGGGGGAGGCCAAGGGTGGGAGGAACTCTGGGAGCAGCCAGAGGGAGTGCTGAGGTGTAGTGGTGGCCACATAGGAGTCACTGACGTACGCTGAGAGTGCTGGATAGAGTGCTTGCTCGGTCTAAGGGTAGCCTTAGATGAGCAGCCCACCCTAAGGAAGCTGGCTAAGATGAATGCAAAAGCAAGTGCCTGGGAGGTGGCGCCTAGCTTCAGTTGTTGAGACAGGGTGAAGGCAACTCAAGAGTTCCATGGAACCCCGCCAGGTCCAGGCTGGGACAGCTGTACCTCAGAAAAGGCTTGGGAGGGAAGGGGTTGCTGAAAGCCTACCCTCAGGTGGACAGGAGCAGAGCCTGGCTTAGAAATGGTCACTCTAGGTGTGTGATGGGGATCAGCTGTGGCTGGGAGTTGCAAGGCCTCCGTGAGAAGCTGGTGCTCAGGAAGTGGCAGAAGCAACACACTGGGCGATGGGGACGGAGGGCACTCATGGAGGGGAGAGACGGGGCCCGTCCCTCAGGCCCGGCGGATTTTCATCTCGGTGCGCTTGAGGGAGTAGTAGAAGCCCTTCCACTGGGCCCAGTTGATGCCATTGGCATAGGAGAGGTGGGAGCCACCCAGGTAGAAGCCGTTGAGGTTGGCGAAGTGGCAGCTGCGGAACCAGAAGGCTCCGGAGGAGAGGGCTGCGCAGTTCTGCACAAAGAGGTCCTGGTCCCGGTCGAAGGTAGAGAACTTCTGGCCACTGTGGTAGGACAGGGAGTCACCTGGCAGAGGGGAGGAGGGATGAGCTGTTGAGGCAGGGAGTTGAGCCCTGTGCCTGGCAGGGAGAAGGTGACAACAGTGATGAGTGACACTGAGGGACATCACATGGCATCCTGGCGGGATGAGGGCACCCTCCCTGAGTCAGATGCTGGGTAGATGGGCCTCTGCTGTGAAGAGAAACAGCTGCTCTTCCACAGGGCTGCCTGGAGCAGGGCCAGGGTGGCTGCTCCTCAGGGCCAAGGCACAAGCTGACTGGAGCTGGTCTGGAGCCAGCTGTGGTTCTTCCAAACCCGGGAGGGTTGCAGGAGGGGCCAACGGGGCAGGGCCAGCCCTGCTTCGCCCCCTGTGGGAGAAGCTGTCAGGAGGGTACCTGCCCCGCCGTCCTCGAAGCCTGCCACGTAAAGGGTGTAGCCGTCCTCCTCAGCACTGACCGCGTTCGGGGAGATGGAGAAGTCCACGTACTTGGCATAGGCTGTGTTGTTCTCAAAGTCTTCCAAGTCCACTCGCAGCTCATACTTCTGCTTCAGTGTCAGGAGGTGCAGGTTTTGCAGCCCTAGGGACAGGTGGTAGCTGGTCAGCAAAGACCTGGCTGTGGGGCAGTCCCCCTCCCACCTGGCCCCTGCCTTACCCAGCCAATACTCCCCATCCGCTCGGCCAAAACCCAGCTTGTAGTCATTCCAGCCCCGGAAGAAACTCACTGAACCATTGAATCTCTTCTGGAAAACCTGGAGCCGAGAGAACAGGGAACTGGACCATGGAGGGTCCAGAGGGTAAAGGTCTCACCCCACCCTGGCCACCCAGGCCTGGACACTGATACTGAGGCTAGTTTGTTAAATGACTGAATGAGGGAAGAGTTGGAAGGTTGCTGAAACAAGATGAACACTGGCACCAGGCCCCTCGTTGAGCAGCTGTTGTGTACTGGCACTCACCTGGGATCTCCATCAGGTCCAGCTGAGAGACAGGAAAGGGAAGATGTTGGGGGGATAGTCGGGGCTGGAGTGTGGCTCAAGGTAGAGCATTGCCTAGCATGCATGAGGCCTGGGTTCTATCCCCAATACGAAAAAAAAAAAAAAAAAAAGTGGATAAGGCAGGGTGCTCTGCTAGAGTTCAGGTGTCTGGTGGTGAGTCCTGGTCTTAGCTGTGTGACGTGGGGCAAGTTATTTCACCTCTCTGGGCTTCAGTTCCTCTAACAAAGGTACCTACCTCCAGGATTTATTCAGTAGGTTACATGCATTAAACTACTGAAGCACTTAGAATTAAATGTTGACAGCTGCTCAGAAACTCTGCCTTGAGTATAACCCCCATTTTAAAGATGGAGGTGAAACTCCCGGTTACACAGATAGGCCTTTGTCCCCTCCTCCCACTCACCGTCCACTTGCCGCCCTCGGTGGTCATGTCACAAAAGACAGGCACCGGCACGCTGGGTCCCGATGGATAGATGAGGTATACACCATCTGCCTGGTAGCCTTGGGCATAGATGTCATCACAGTCCAGGGGTTGCTGAAGGCAATACTTCTCCAGTGCTGGGGGTGGGGACAGGGAGGAGAGAGGGACAAAGTCGTAAAGGACACCTCAGCACCCCATAGTTTGTCCCGGGAGCCAGGAGATTCTGTCATGAGAAATCTTGATTTCTTCCTTTGAGTGCTCGATCATTTTATTCACCTGCCCCACTTTAGAGGGGGAAACTGAGTCCTGCAGAACTGGAGAGCCTTGAGAGCCAGGCCTCTTTTTTGTCCAGCCAGGTTGCGTCTGGGAATGGTGGTGGGGAGGGCTGCTTACCATCTCCCCGGATCCCAGAGGCCTGGGGGATGCAGGGAGGCGTCGAGAGAAGCAGCAACAGTGGCAGGGCCAGGAGGACCTGGTGACAGGAAATAGGGTCAGTACAGCCCCTGGCCCCAGCCCCAGGGCCCCCTTGCTCTCCTTCTGCGTTTGTGCCATTACCCATGCCGCTCACCCCCTGCCTAAAAGCCTTTCCCTGCCCTTTGCCTCTCTTTCTCTTCCCACTTTCAGGAACAGGTCCAACACCCTTAGGCTTTTCAAGAGAATCCTCTGCCTTTGTAGTCCCCTCTCTGGCAAGTGGCCTTCATTCCCCAAGGCTAGGAGCTCCCCACCCTGGGCCCGGTACCTTCATGCTGTCAGTTCACTCAGAGAGGCTGGGTGTCTGCGGGCCCCAGACTGCAGCCGCCCAGAGTTATGTGCTGGGATCCCAGCCCGCCGCCCAGCTCCGCCCCTGGAGCTGCAGAACCCCCCCTCCACACACGACTAGCAACCAGGGCCAGCTTACACTGTCAGGGGCCAGGGGACCACCTGGGTCTCATTAGGCCTGTCGGCAAAGTGCTGCAGACCAGACGTTGTTAACTCCCTGCTGGCTGCGACTGCTCGCTGGATCCCACTCCACCACAGGCTGGCTGGACCTGGGGGCCTCCTGGCACCCCCAGCTGGCCCCAACCCACCCTCTACTTCCTGACAACTCCCCCCCATATGTCTGTTTCTTCTCTCCCCCTCCTGTCCTGGCCTGATTTCATCAGCCCTACAGAGGAGGGGGGGTGGAGGTGTGCCTGGGTCTGAGGAAGGAGGCGCAATTTGGGGAGAAGGCTGGGTGGGATGTATGTGGGGGGGCAGCTCCAGAGCTCCTGACGTGGGAGCTGCCTGGGCTAGTGGGGGACAGGGGCAGCAGGGGCCAGGCCGTCTCCTGGCAGGCCTGGGACATTTCTGAGCCATGAGCACAGGGCTGCAGGCGGCCAACTGCTCTGTCTGCCCCAGCTTGAGCCAGGCTCTCTCCAGCCCCCTTCTGGGCCCCCCTCCCCTGCTGGGGCCACCTCAGGCCCCCTCCTTTCCCTCCCACAGTTCCCTGGGCCATCTAGGCCTCTTTTGTTTCTCCTAGCCTTACCCCTCCTGTCTTCTAAACCCCTCGGGCTCTCTCTGGGCCCCTCTACCACTTCCCCATTTCCTCCACCCTGAGCCCACTGCCTCTTCCCAGGTTTCCCTGCTTCTGCCTTCTCCTTCCAGCCTCCTATCCTCTACGCACGCACGAGAAGAGTTGTCCTAGGTAGCCATGTTCCCTCCCTGCTGAGGCCAAATTTTTCACCTTGGACTATAAAGGAATTTCAAGTCTGGTTCCGGACTACTTTCAGGACCTTGTCCCTGATTGCTTGTGACTCCTAAGTTATAGTCTAGCCACACCAGACCTCTAGCTAGCAGGTCCTTGTGCCTTTGCCTGTGCTGTTCCCTGTGCTGCCCACTGTCTTGTCTCCTTCTTGGCTGTGTCACTGGGCAGGGCCTGTTTCTCATTTCTACACACTCAACTCTATGCCAGAGTCTGGCATAGAATAGGCCCGATACATAAACCCAGAACAGGTACTGTAAGAGGTGCTTAAGCTGCTTTGGCTGAAAAGCACTGACTCCTTACTTGGGCCCACGAATTAACTAAAAACAGGAGAAAAGCCTGGCATCTCTGTCTGTATTTTGTACCTATTGTCCTTTGCTCTGAGCCATTTTCTCCTGCAGCCACGTTGGAATCAAGGAAGGACAGGAATGATCGGTAACATCTTCATAACAAGGGGCTGAAACTTCTAAGAAACAGCCCCTTGCAGGACAGACCACCCCTCCAAATGAGGACAATTACCTATGATGATGAGGTTTCACCTGGAGCAGGAGCAATTATCTCATGGGAACCAGATTGCTCCTCTTAAGTGATGACAGTGAGAACAACATCTGTGGAACTCTCGAAGAACAAGGGCTGAGATAATGGTCACCCAGAGCCCACTGGACTGTTAACTGGCTGAAGATGGGCTGAGTGCTTACTTTGCCTCTTTCCATGGTGTGTCCGGGGCATGCAACAAATCTCCTTTCTCTGCCCTTCCCTAAGTCTTTATTTGGTGTATAGGGATGAGTGGCCAGACTGACATGTCGAAGCCCAGGAATTTGGGCCTTAGGTTCAAAACTCTGGTTTCAGTACCTTTTGGCACCTACGATGTGTTGCTATGCTTTCTGTTGGCTGCTGGCGACACAGTATCTTCCCCCAATGAGTGGCAAACAGTGGACAGTGAACTGCAAATGTAACAATGTGCTATGAACAGACATGAATTGAATGGATGAACACATGAAATATCTAGAACGACGAGACTACAGCTCTGACTTAGGTCCCTTGTCTCCGTTCCTGAGTTAGTAGCTAAGCCCCAGTCAACCTCCTTGACTTGGTTCTGTGAATGCTGGTAAGAGAGACTTCTGTTCGTGTTGTGCCCCTGGGGTTCTAGAATGCACTGCCTGCATCCAAATCCAGGTTCTGCCACTTGTTACCTGAGTGACCTTGGAGAAATTACCTAGTTTCTTTGTTCCTCAGTTTCTTTCTCTATGAAATGAGTGTAGTAATAATAGCATCCATTTCACAGGGGTGTGGTAAGGATTAAGTCATACAACTCAAGTGCCAAGAACAGTGCCCACGATTACTTGTCAAAGGAAAAAAATCTTAAAGTAATTAAGCTTGAATTTATTTGAGCAATTATAAACAAAACAGAACAAAGCAATACAAAACAAAATGATTTGTGAATTGGGCAGTCCTTAGAGCCAAGGCAGATTCTGGAGAACTCCTACCAATAACATAATCTGACAGCATTTATAGGAAACAGAAGTGTGGTGCAGAGACAGCTTAATTGGTTGCAGCTTAATTGGTTAATTGGTTACAGAGCCTCCTGAAGTTAACTGAAATCAGATACTGTGGTTAAACTCCATGTTAATTTGATCAGTTGGGCTCAGTGCGGGAGTTTAATCACAATCAATGGCCTCCTACAAATTTGATCTTATGTATCGTGGTAATTATTTAGCAAAGATTAGCTAATCACCATCATCACTGTAAATACCATGACTGAACAGGAAAGGGTTGTCTTCAACAGGATTTTAATCCTTGTCTGTGGAAGAGATAGTTGGCAGTCCTCAGTATTTATTCTTCCTTAAATTCTGAGTAGTAACAGCCTTATTTTTATCTGGCTCATTGTGTAGCCTCCCTTGTGGCTGGGTGAGGTCACACAGTCCAGATTTTGGCCAATAAGTTGCAAACAGAAGTGTTGTAAAGGTAGGTGGCTCATCCCTCTCCATCCTTCCCTCTGTCCCCCTGAACATGATGGTTGGAGCTCTGGCTGCTACCTTGGACGTGGGGACGAGGCTTCATAAGAGGAGGGATCCAGAGGAGTTGGGTCTCTCTCAGCTCTGTAGAGTGGGTCCAGGGCCAGCTCTATTTTGTCTTTCCCTAGGCCTTTGTCATGTGGAAGAGAAAGGAACTTCTATTTAAGCCTCTGGTTGTTTTCTATAATACACAGCTGAATCTGATCCTCATCTCTTCTTTCAGCAAATGCATCAAATTTTAATGCAAGTTTATAAAAATGAAAAAAAATTAAAGAATTGGTCACTAAATGAATAATGAAATATGTTCAAAGTCAAGTATCAGAGACTTTTGGAGAATACTACTAAGAGAGGGAGGGAGAGAGAGGAAGGGGGAGGGAAAATATTAAACTGTGAGGTGAGGTATCAATCATATTTTGATTATTAAATTAGTTTTAGAAAATTTTTTTATTACGTGCACATGACAAAGCAAGCACTCTGTTGGCTAGATGTGGTTGAAGTCAGCTTAACTCTTTTGGGAAAGAAATTTGTCAGTGTATCAAGATTCTGTAATCCTGCTTTGGAGGAACTGTCTGAAGGCACCACTCCAGCGTATTGGAAAGGTCCATGCACAGCGAGCCGGCATCACTTGTTGCCAGCCCAGCATGGCAAGGCTCCTGCCGTGTTTGGGGGCTCCCTTCCCCAGACATCCTTGCTGTTCCGTGAAAGGCACATGACATCAGTGCGCTGCCCTGGGTTTCATTTTGGAAGAAAATGGCTTGAGAAGCCAGAGCAGGAAGATTCCATCCTTAGGATGGTGGTGTCTGGGTCCTAGGCCCTCTGGCTACTTGGTGGTGGCTCTGCAAGTGCAGTGTTGAATGACCCTGGCTGGGGCTTGGCCTGCAAAGCCCTGAGCTTGGTTCTCAGCCCTCCTGACAGTAGCTTTGCACTGCCCATTATTATTATTTTTTTTATGAAAGACACTAACTCATGCAGGTGCTGGGGATCAAACCCACAGCCTCTCACATGCTAAACGTGTGCCCTACCAATCATGAGGAGCCCCAGCAGGATTTGGAGGGCGGCAGGGGAGAGAAGTTGGGATATTCATTTCCCTCCTTTCATGGTTCCTGCAAACTTACCTGTTTCTCAGCCAGAGGTCTCAGGTCCTGACAAACAGCCTTCCACACAGCCTTCAGACCCAGGGTGAACAAGTGCTTCCTTGGGCCCCTTCAGGTCCAGGGGTGGTGACAACTCTGGCATTATCAACCTGGGGATATGATATCATATACTGCTCACACCCCAGCAAACTGTTATTTCATTACATGCGGTTCAACTTGTTCTGAAATGCGTTTTCCTTGGAGGGGGCCTGATTACAGCATGCTTGTTCCAATGCAGGAAGGGAAGTGGTTACAAGGCATGTGAACAAGACTCCACTAACTAACTACCCTCTGTATTTTTACTGTGAGTTATACTGTAATACTGCCCAGCCTAGACTGCTAAGTGAACTCTGAGGACCCCCTGCTCTTCCCAGGTGCTGTTTTGGTGGGACACTCCTCAAGTCAGGTGGCTCTAGTTCTAGACTAGGCCTGTGCTGGCTATTCTCTGCCTTCCCTGACCCATGCTCCACCCTGCTGTATGCTGGGGACTGCCCTATATGGAGGACACTACAGGTAGCCGTGGCCTACAAGAGGCACCAGCAGGAGATAGGAAAAGGAAGGAGCTGGGATGTTTTTTCCTGGCCACTGTCCTACCAGGCACTGCAGTTTTGGTAATAGCTGTACCTCTCACACATACTGCCTCCTGTTACCACTCTGCCATGACCCTGTTCACTGATTCTGGTTACCCTGTGCCCTCCTCTGACTCTTCCAGCCTGGGATGGTATTGGCTCTCACCTATGCTAGATCCAAGATGCCCAACACCCCGTGTTGGTTTCCTTAATGCTCACGTCCAAGTCAATAGAGCCTTCATTAAAATCTCTTTAAACAACACAGTTGAGCCCAACTTTGGTTTCATGCCTCGAGCCTGACTGACACAAGGTCTCAGTTTGGTTTCTTGGAAAAAAGGTACAGCAGCCTGTGGGATA